TTATAAAATAATAAAATAGCTATAACTTTGTGATTCTGTTTATGTGAGGATTTATGTCTAACTCTGCTGTATTTCCCTCAGTAGTGTGGAGAATTTCAGTATTAAACGCATTATTAGTAGGATTTAATAACACCCCTAGTGGTGAGTAGAAGTGTCACAATAATAAATATGTTAGTCACAATATGTTTCCATATGGAATGTATTATAGGTTTACAATATTCTTACTTATAGAGGATATTATATGTTACAGTATATTAACTCATTGAATGTATTAAATCATAGAAGTATAGTCACTGTAGGTATTAAAACACTAAGAATAGTTTTGAGGGTCAGATAGGGATTCTGAGTGAGGTGTCAGACATGCAGCAGCAAATGGAGGCGACCTCATCGATGGAGGATGGGGCCAGTGGGACGGTCAAATGCCAAGCTAACCAGCAGTCCAAGATGTTTTGCTAAGGGATCGATAATGGGAGGGGACAGAATTCAAATGAAGCCAATCACTAATCGCCACGGAGGGTCATTCACACGTTTTATGACAGTATCGGACACTTTCCGACTCTCAGGGGATACAAAAGACAATGTTTTAGGGAGTTTACCTCAGATCACTGCAGCTCTCATTTTCAGCTAATTGGCCGCGCCGGACTGTGAGGAGATGCGTGTATGTGGTCTCTGCTCTCGAGAACATTACTATTGATAGTTAATTCAGTTTGTAAGTGAACTTTGTGTAGTACATTAAATATTGTTTTAATTTGAACCGGATCTAGCTCATTCTTCTGATGCGCGTGCGCAGTAAGAAGTTTGCAGCAGAAGAGTACCTGCGGCCTGCAGGCTCCTTCATCCTTTGTTCTTAAAAACCTAACAGTAGTGTCCTCCTACGAGTCCCGCCCACTGCCGTGCCTCTCTCCGTAGGCACAGCTGTGCCTCATCTCCTGTGATCATCTCCAGCTGACATAAATACTCCTGTCACTCTCATCTCAGTTGTCCGTTAACCAACCTGGTTTTCCGACCCGTGAGTTGTCCGTTTTTTTCACTCTGTGAGATTCCTCTAACTAACAATCCGTTTTTGTGTTCAACTTACCTGCCGTCCAGTGTCGAGCCTCAGGTTTTCACCTGCACGAAGAAGCCTTCCAGTTCGTTCCTCGGAGATCAACTTTGAAGGCTTGGCGATCCTGTGTCGAGCCCCGGGTTTCACACAGTTGATCCAGCCTGCCTGCCAGCCGCGGATGCGTATTAGCCACTTTCCGGCTAGGATCAGAGCGGAGCGCGAGGACGCGCCTCCGTGTTTGACGTGACTGTTTACCTGTTGGCTTCGTCTGCCGCTCAGAGGATTTAGCCACTTTCCGGCTTGGACCCGTGCGGAGCGTGTGGGGACGCCTCCTTAGTGACTTTTGCTATTTTCTGTTTTTTCCTCCTGACTGAGAGAAATAAATATCTTGGTTTGTGAAAGAACTCTGCTGTCCTGTGTCTGCATTTGGGTCCATGAACACACCACATCATAACAGTTTAGGCCAGCAGAGAAGGCCTTGAAGGACCTGACGGCCCACCACTGGATAACATGTAGTGTTGAAGCGCTTTGAGTGGTTGGAAGACTAGAAAGGCGCGATACAAGTACAGTCTGTTTACCATTCCTTTCTCACCTCTTGGTCATCCGACTCTAATAAGACTTCCAACACAGTTTTAGGCCAGTCCTCCTCATGAAATGCAGGACATTCAAGCTACCTGCTATTCTTCAGAAACTCTGAGTCTTCGTTCCCCTCGACGCATCGTCAGCTGGATTGTCTTTGGAACTGACATGTCTCCACTGTGAGGGCTCAGACGTTTCTTTGATCATCAAGATTCAGTTGGCCACAAATGTGTGAAAGCGCCTGTCCTCATTGTTGAGGTACTTCAGCACTGCAGAGCTGTCAGTCCAAAACACTGAATCCTCCAACTGGAAATTCAACTCTGCCTTTAACATTGAGGCCACTCTGACTGCAAGGATGGTCGCTGATAACTTGAGTTGGGGAATAGTTACAGCCTTCAGTGGTGTCACTGAAGGCGTGTATGTGTTTTTCCGGATTTACCATCCGGATGCATGTTACAGTTCCGTACCCACATTCGCTGGCATCAGTAAAGTGATGTAGTCGGGCATGTCTGACCTCTCCAAAGTCCAATGGCTTGATGCACCTGTCCACATTAAATGCAGCCAGCCGATCCAAATCCTCCAACCACTTTTTCCATTGGTGTGGTAAAGTATCATCACAGCCACAAACTCTCCTACAGAGTTCTTGCTGCATCATTTTGGCCAGCAAAGTGACTGGTGCCAGAAACCCCCAGAGGATCGTACACTGAGCTGGTAACTGACAGCATACCATGTCTGGTGAGAGACTGTTTTCTTTGTTTTAACTCCATCATGAATCTGAAAGAGTCAGTCTCCACACACCACTGCAGACCCAAAGCTCTTTCCACTAGAAGTTTGTCTCAGTCAAAATCCAACTCCTTTAAGTCCTTGGTCCTTTAATCCTCTGCAATGCAGTGGTGGGCCGTCAGGGAGATCTATCTCTTCTCAAGGGGGGCTCAAACGGCCTTTACCAAAATCCCCACAATTATGTTTACTAGGAGACAAAAGGCTTGTGCCACCAGGCCTTACCAAAGCAGAGATCCCGCTGTCATTAACAGGTGTCACTGTGGCAGCAAGGCTCATTCTGCACAACTGGAAGAGCCCACATACATCTGCGCTCACAAAATGGCTCAAACTCATGACAAAGACAGCTGCATTTGAAAATATGATTGCCAGGGTCGAGAACATTCCAAGCAGAACTGACATAACATGGAAAAATATGACAGCTTACATTACAGACTCACAATCTGTACCACCACATTTGCAGATAGAGAGGTATATATATATAGGCAAATCAATGTCAAAATCCGCGAAAGACTCGCGAGCAGAAGATCAGTGATAGTAGCCGCTCCCTAGGGGACGCCCCTCGCGCTCAGAGCATGGCTTTCTCCTTTAGGTGATGACATCTCAGATGAACTGACTCCTCTATTTCACTAATCCATTCTTCAACCTTTCTGTGTGAGACACAATCTGATCTAGTTTAAAATATGTTATTCAAAAATTGGCTTGTATATACCATGTGTCCAAATGTCAAGATGAATACATTTTGTATAATCGAAAATACCAATAAAAAGAAGTTTGAACATGATGTCACATATTTGCCAATACATTATGTTATATTTTGATCAAATGTGCCATTTGCATGTTTTTCACCAGACTGACATTAGGTCTAACAGCATGTTGTCCTCAACACCATCCCCTTCACACACGTCAACTAGTGACGCCGAGTATGCAGGTTTAATGTGGGTAAAGCCCCAACCTCATTTTGGCCAGTACTTAGTTAATAGTTTATACATATTTACTATAGATATACAACAAATCTAACTTTAACAAAATGGAAACATCTGGCTGTTTGATGACATGCAGATTGTGACACATCAGCCAACATGTGGACCGAATATCAGAGAATATTCTGAGCTAAAAAAACAAAACAAACAAAAAAATGATTTATAAAAAGATGCATAGCAATGCTGTTCAATGTTGAACTGTCTTGTCTGTATCAGTGATGGGAAAAATGAAAGACATGCTAATGGCAACATGCAAAAAACATTATTAAAGCTCCGAATTAACTAGTAAGCTACTCATTAAATGTTGCAAATGTACTTGCCTTAGTGTGGCTCGTGGACGCAGAGAAGAGGAGGTCGATGCTTGGCCGCTGGACTGTGTGCGCGCGTGTGTGTGTGTGTGTGTGTGTCACATGTTAGTGTGACGACATGGAGCGGAGCGGAGCCTCGCTTACCCTGCGGTCACACCCACATATTGTCACTGACTGACCAGCCGCACTGCACGATCAGCATAACCACTGGTGCAGTGATGAAACAGGAAGCATCTGACTTATAACGTCTCGTTGCAAACAACTTTGTGTCCTAGCCCAGCTGTACAAATGAAACAGAAACACACAAGTGTTTTGTAAGTATATAATCAGAAGAAGACCAATTTTTGATGAACAGGACGTAATTGAAAGCATGGCTGTAGGTTTAACCCTCTGGACCCCAAAACCCACCGGCTGTTTTGAAAAGCATGTTTCCTTTGAAAAGAATCGCAGAAACATGCACCGTATATAATGGCTAGAAGCTGTAAAAACAGAGACGTTTCAAATTTCCGACGGTCTGTGAACAGTTCGTGTGACGCCTCCGTCAGGAAATTATTTATGTATTTATTTATATTTTAAATATATCTAAATATTGTTTCTAGAGCAGCAACAGTCATGTTAACAACAAAGTCACTATATAAAGTCATTAATATCTCACAGAAAACAAATGTAAAATATTAATAAAATAAATGATATTCCTGATTGAAGTTTACAAAGAATAAAGAACATGAACATCCGTCAGTATCAGTCATTCCTCCTGTCCTCTGTCCTCCTGCCCTCCTGTCTTCTGTCCTCTATTGATAAAGTTTAAAAACATGGAGGTGCAAGATGGCGGACTCCATGGAAGACGACCCGCTCCCTACGTATATATAAACTGATTATGCATTAATGAAAACATAGTTATGAAGAATATATTCCATTGCTGCCAATTAATCCCACTAAATGTTACACGCTGTCCCTTTAAAGTTTAAAGGGACAGTTCGCTCCAAAATCAAAAACACATATTTGTCCACTTACCTGTAGTGCTATCAGTCTACATTGTGTGGGTGTGAGTTCCAGAGTGTTGGAGGTATTGGCCGTATAAATGTCTGCCTTCTCTCCAATATAATACTCGGCTTGTGTGCTCAAACTGCCAAAAAATATACATTTGAAAAACTCAACGGCAAAGTCTCTTCCCAGAAATCATGACCCGAGTACTTCAGATAATCTACCGAGTGAACATGTGCCACTCTTTATGTGGATGTCCGGTCAGTATTGATGGTAAATGTAGTCCATTGAAGCAGTAAATTCTTCAGTGCGGTTATATCGAACGAGAAAGCTGAGTTCTCCTCTGTGGCACTAGCTGCTAGTGGACAAAATTCACATTCACAGTCATCTGCCCTCTGGGCCCTATGTTCTTTGTTGTCTTTTCCAGTTCATCTTTCGGATCCTGAAGGAGGTCTCCAGCACTCCTCCATCCATGTGAGGAATAAAACTGTCATGTAAAGTAACACGCACAAGGCTCGCTCTCTCTGGGTTGGCGACGGAGCAGCATCTAAAGCACAACCTCCGGCTACCCAGAGGCGGAGACAAGAATCCACGCTGAAACAGCTGAAACAGCTTGGATTCTTCCATATGACAAGTACTTCACTGTCACATCACTGGTATACAGAGGAACAACAGATTTTGCAGCTGTACCCCAGAGACACAGAAAACATGAGTAACATCTGCAGACGTTTTTCACACTATACCTAAATGTGATAGGTAGAAATAAGGTATGAAATCTATGAATTTTCCCTTTAAAATTGAGATATTTAATCAAAATCAGTTTTTTTCTACATGTCTCATTAACAATTCTAGCAAAAAATAAACCATTTCTCTCATCAGCTGGAAATCAATGAATGACTTGTCAAAGACCAACAGTCATGTGACTGAACTGCAGCCTGCTGAACAAAGAAGAGAGGACAGCAGCAAAGGGAGTTTTGGAGTTTCTCCATCTTTCAAAATATACAGTCCTCAAATTTCTCAAAAGTGGGAAGACATAAGATTCACATATTTTAGAGCAAAACAAACTGTGCTTGTATGAACAACGATGCCGAATTTTGTTTGCCAAAACTCCAGTAAATTCAGTTGATTAACTGGAACAGCCCGAGAGCGTTGTTGGTCACCAGTGAAGAATCTATGAAAACAGATGCAAGGTTAATGTTGAAGTTAATGAAGCTTCTGTATTGTTTACATGCTGTTGTATCATTTATAGTATTTCTCCAACTAATACTAACATTAATTATACAGAGACAGAAGTCTGAGTGCAGCGGCTGATCTTTAGTTACCCATCGAGTCCAGGAAGTAGCTTCTAGCTAATTCTTTCATGCGGACTATCCCACAATGAGCAGCATGTAGCTGCTGCAGTAGCCTTTTCCACAACACCGGTAGAATAATCGCTCTGCGTCCCCATAATAATGGCTCTTTGCTCCACTTGCCTGAAGTAGAAAATGTCAGCCTGCAGCAGCCCACCATGATCGATGTAGGGGAAGCATTTGTATGCAACTCAAACTTCCGGAGCTTTCCGTCATGAAGCTTGGCAGAAGTTCAGTCAGAGACTCTCTTTACGCTCTCATTCATTCATAATTTATCAAGTACGGACTTGTCTACTTTTGGAGTCTGGACTCCCAAGTCCAGAGAACACAGTACGGACAAGTACGCATATTGAGAAAGGCATATGGGCTTTCACCCTAAATTTAACAACCACATTTTGTCACTATGTCCTGAAGCTTTGCTGTCAAACTTCACAACTGTTCTCCTCTCTGGTGCCTCCACCTCCAGTCTTCATCATATCTGGTGCCCAGTCCTGCTCCTTCCCAAGTTATGATTAGGAGAAAGTTTCTCATTATTATAACTTGCAGGATCTTTATTGTTTCCATCCCAGTGGGCTTCAGTAGGCATTGAGATGTGCAATTCGATGTTGCAATAACAGTAAATGAAACCTTGAACTTTAATTGTGTCCATGCACTTATTGTCCCCTATCAAACACAAGTACGTGGACAAGTCCCCATCCCCATTACTAAACCTGCTCTCTGCTAACATAGGTATCAGTTGCTAGTGTCACTATTACCATGACTATTTCTATTAGAGCCACTGCATCCACTGTACTGTGGAGATGAAAATATGAAGATTAAAAAGACATTTGTAAAAACGCAACACATTTCCCAGCATCAACATTTTATTGAACTAAGAAAAAGGACCATTGGCCCCATTACCAGTCTGACTGTAGGTGTGTGTGTGTTGGACACAATGCTGGTTTGCATCCAAAACTATTTACAATCATCATCATTCACACTTTCACACTACAACAATGGACACATTGTCAATATTTACAGAATTCAAGATCCATGCTGCTTTCAATTAAGTTGTAATTCTGTCACTTTCCACACAGTGACACATATTTCAGCTGCCTTCCCTCCTGAGTGAGGAGTCATTTAAAGCCTTCATGTTACTGGGTTAGTGAGAAACAAGAGAAAAGGCTTTCGTTGGTCCAGTTAAACCTGGAAGTGTTCTGACAGCTCATGTTACATGCTTAACTGCAACAGGGGAGTTCTCTTATAATCAAGGTTGTCTTCAATTTGGGCTGTGTCTATTAAATATGACATTGATATAAATCTTCAGCTAATGATTCCCGTTCACACTCTCTGCCCACTAGAGGAGAGAACATAGCGACTGATCCAAACACCACGGAACAGCAATAGTAGCAGTGAGCTTTGGAAAATGTTCAGTCTATATGAATTATTTTACAAAGAAAGAATCAGTTATTTTCACTGGTGCAGTCTTTGTTGTGTTTTTAATGAATTCTGTTTCTTTTGCTATACTGCCACTCTGGGGCACCGAAGTGGAAGCTTTTCAAATTGGACACAGAAGCTTTAACGCTTACTTATCAACTCAAACAGATCTTGAAATGGAACCAAAATATGAAATAAATATGAGGAACTTTCTTTTTAACACATATCATTTTGGAAGCATGAAGGTCAGCTGTTCAGCAGCATTTATCAGAGAATGGAGGTTTGATTCTGCTTGCAGCGCCACCAAAGGGTTTAGCAGCGAGGCTGCAGTCACTCCATCCTGAGATTAGTCCACTTTCTTTGGCTTGCGGTTCTTCCACATGATAACTGCAGTGAAGGCCCCTGTGGAGATGAGAGCAGTGTTGACTTCAACAGCGACAGACACACATCGTCACAGCGCCTTTCATTGTATATGTAGAGCTTGAGAGGGGTTGTCTGTGGAGTGCATATTGCAATGAGAGTGTGCTTTGTCTTTAGAAAGCAGACTGTCTACTCACCGATACAGAGCAGCAGTATCACTGCTGCAACGCCAGGCACAATCACCGAGTACTCTCGAGGAAGAAAATACTTGTGAAGTACGTGATCATTGTCCACGAAAGGCTGGAGGACCAAATAGCACATCGTTTATGTCATTTTCAAAGTTTTCTTTCATTTGATACTTTTGTGAAAATGAGATATAACTGCAGAGGTGCTTAAGTGATTTTGACTGAACAATGTATTCAAGGGAACAAGCAACAGGTTGTTTGATAAACATGGTTAAAGGTGTGAAGCACAAGGCTTCTGTTGACATAAGGGTCTCTGACTGGGACTTTAGGGACACACACAGAACGTACCAGGATGATGACCCACACAGAGTAGTATGTAAACAGCAGGAGGCTGAAGACAACAAGACTCATGCCAACAGCTTGATCCACTCCTGTAGCCTGAAAATAAAAGTAACTGGCTGAGCAAGAAATGTCGCACTCATGACCACAACCCCAACCAGACGATGACATATCCCAGATGAACTTGAATGAATTTGGGGTAATGGTTTTTAGGGCTGCAGCTAACGATTTATTTCATTATCGCTTAATCTTCCGACTATTTTCAAGATCCATCGTTTGTTCTAAAAAATGTCAGGATAGTGAAAATTGTTCATCCTAGTTTCTCAAAGTTGCAAATGTCTTGTTTTGTCAGTCCAAACCCCAAAAATATTGAATTTAATATGATATAAAACAAAGAAAAGCAGGAAATCGCTAAGGCTGAAAACATTCTCTGCCATCTTTGCATAAAATAATTACTTTAATGAAGAGTTAACAAAATGTATTTTGTCCATCGACTAATCATTTAGTTGACTAATTGTTGCATCTCTAGTTGTTTTCTTGGAGTTGCTTTATGACATCCCACAGAGGATACACAAGCTGAGTAGTACTCCTCCAGACCTCCTTGTTCAAACAAAGCTTGAGCAATAACTCCGCATGTCACAGAGTGGAGGTTACAAACATCATCTGCTTCTGTTTGAAAAGTACAAGTGCACTGAAAAACATCTGTATCCCCTCCACCATGACGTCCTAATCTGGTGCCAGATTGGACAACAAAACAGAAGAGAAACTAAACCTTTCAGGTTCACAGCAAACACGCCATTTAATGAAGGTGCTAGATAGTCAATTCATTGGAATTGTGTTGAGAATTGAGCAGGAATCTATGAAATAGCACATATGCAATTGCAGTATATCTACTAAAATAACTGCCCATTAAAACAAGTAACCCCCACCTAAATATGTACAACCGAAATAATCGCTCTCTATGTAACGTTACAAGTCCAGATCCAGAACCAGAACCGGATCCCTCCAGTCCTGTCTCTACTGAGAGCTGGTCTGACAGCGCTCATACTGTACCAGACTCCATTAATATCTGTCAGATAACCGTGGCTTTATATAGATCCATGTCGCAACATCACGTACATTTGGTTGAAGAATAAATAATGGCGCATTGTAAATTCGGCGTGTAAAATGAAGATAAGCCATCAAACCATTTCATTTAAACCTGTTCGTTTACACAAATGATTGGCGCAGGAACATTTGTGGATCAGCTGTTTAAGAGTTGAAAGAATCGTCTTTAGTAGCTGTTTACAGGCTTTCTAACGTACATGTGCAAGTCAGTATTAAACTGCCTGAAACGTCACACTAAACCGGAGACGAAAAGTTAACGTTAAATAGAATCGCTTTTAACGCTAACTGACGTTAACGTTACCGAGCTTACGTTGTGCGCTAACATGAACGTGTCGAACATGTTTGTCATAGTCACAACCGTGAAGATAAGCTAACGCTAGTAACTATGCGCTGGCTGGGGAAGCTGCCCAAAATGTTCAGCCTGCAATTCTACGAGTTATAGCTTCAAAGAGCCGCCATGAATCCATTTGTTTAAGTTTAAGCAGCTTATCTCTCTTACCATTTCTGGTTGCTGACGTTTCCTGCTGTTCTTCTTCCTTCCTGTTGACTAATCCGGCTGACAAGACGCACCTGAGAGTCTCTGCTGCCCCCTACCGGTGGACCGGCGAAACACACAAGATAATGGAGCTACTGCAACTTCATGTACAGTATATCAGAACCAGAACCAGAATCAGAACCAGAATCTGAATCATAACCAGAACCAGAACCAGAACCAGAACCGTTTATTTGCCAAGGTATGTTGCACATACAAGGAATTTGACATGACGGGTGGTGCATAACATTAAACAATCAACAACAATCAACAGTGCAAAAAGTAGAAACATATTAAAACGTACAATAAAATATAAAATATAGTGCACAAACAAACAGATAACAGTACTATAAACAAGTATAATGTAATGTATAGGCCTGTGTATGGATTTTAAATCTTGTTTCTGTTACATCTAGACTTTGCATGATTGATTAATAATCTTAATCTGATATTTTAGGTTTTGTATGCAGTTATCACAATAAACAGCATCAGTTAGAGCATATCCACGTAATAGTCATCATAATAAACTATTTATGTAACATCTTTACTGTTACAAAGTGCTTAGCAATAGTAAACATCATATTTGAGATAAAACTAAAAACATAATAAAACACAGAGAGTAAAACAAACTAAAATATCCCAAAACATAAATAAAATCACAGAAAAGCAATTTTCAAGTGTTTTTTTTCAAAGAGATTTAAAAGATGGAACAGAGTTTGCATCCAGATGTCCTCAGGCAGGTCATTCCACAGTGTAGGAGCCCTGAGTGCAAAGGCTCTATCACCTGTGCTCTATACACACCGTTGTATAAAACTCTAGACCTTAGAACAACAAGGTACGACGCATCTGAAGATCTTAGGGTGCAGGAAGGGGTATAAGGCAATAAAAGATCTTAAAGATATTTGGGGCGAGGCCTCTCAGGACTCTGTAAGTAATCAATAACATCTTGATCAAAATTCTAAAAGCAACTGGTAGCCAGCGGCAGCCGGGATCTGTGAAATGTGGTCATGTTTCCTAATCCGAGACAAAATTGTGGCAGCAGAGTTTTGGATGGGCTGAAGGTTGTTGAGGATTTCATCTAAAAAAACACAACCTTTTCATTGGGCCAGAGTGCCAAGACTGTTTGATATTAAGTGTTTGCAACATCTTGACCTATGACCAATATCTCTCTCTTATCAGCATTAAGCTGCCGGACATTTTGTAACATCCACATACAGATATCATGAAGGTAGCTTTGCTGGTTGACAGTGTTCTGATGGTTCTTTGCAGGGTCACAGCTTAGATCTGAGTATCATCAGCATAAAAATTGAATTTGATTTGAAGTCTGCGTGACCAAGAGGGAGCATGTAAATGGCAAAGAGAACTGGACCCAGCACCAATCCTTGGGGCACCACTGTGAACACCTGTTGCAACTGACCCGTCATCACTGATACCAACACAGGAACGAGTGTCTTTTAGGTATGACCTAAAGCATTGTACAGCAGTCTCGCCAATACCGTCCAAAAGGATACAAAATGGAGTAATGGCCAGCATCAGCTGATAGCAATAAGACCTTTAAGACATTCAGAGTCATTTCAGTGTTTTTCTCTAAAACCAGATCAAATCTTTTCTTTGTCAGCTAAAATCTTAGCTAAAGATGGGAGCTTAGAAATAGGTTTAAAATGGTTAAGGTAAGAAGAGTTGGCCTTTTTAAAAGTCGTTGAACGGAGCTGTTTTTAAAAAAAAATCAGGAAACCCGTTAGCCGTATTCGACCAATCACTGTACACCACTGTCACTCATGGTTGCTCTTGTGCTGGGAAAGTACCTACTCTGTGAAAGGAGCTAAAAGGTCCCTTAAAACGTCATTCTAAGAATTACAATAGTTCCTCTTATGGTTCGCACACAGTAAAAGTGTGGGGTCTTGTTCACTTCGTTGACCAAGGCTGTTCTTGCCTGGATACTCGGTTTGGCTGAACATCAAAATCTTTGAAGAGTCCTGGTGGTTCCAAACCTCTTCCTTTTCACAATGATTGAGGCCACTGTGCTCCTAACACTGACCTATGCTGCGCCACAGTGTTATTGAGGTCTACAGAGAGTTCCTTTCTAAACTATGTCCAATCAATTCAATGTGCCCCAGGGGGACACATCTCAAGGAGCATTTAAGCAAACAGGAAGCACCTGACCACAATTTGGAGTAAACAAGAGATTTCAGTTTTTTTAATTTTTTATAAATTTGCAAACATTTCTAAAAAGCTGTTTTCACTTTATCATAAAGAGTAATTATGTGTAGATTGATGGGGGGAATGGCAATTGTATCTAATTACATTTACAAGAGAATACAGTGCAAAAAGTGAAGGGGTCTGAATACCTTCTGAAGCAACTGTATGATTGTAATTAGGTTTAATATTTCAATAGGCACTTTAATATGAGGTGCATGGGCACCAGTCATGTGTATGTGACCAATGAATAACTCCACATCAAATACAGAATGATGATGATTCCAGTCTTTACCATTTTATTTGGTATGCATGTTTATGCAAATCATAATTCATTGCTCCTCAACACTCACATTACGGTTATTAATAGGATGTAAATCTCAACTCTTGATGTGACTTTTACACGTATTTCCCAGCATTTTAAACATTTGTATCTATTTTTTTAAATCATCATGTTTACTTTTCAGGACAACACAAGTAAGGACAAAAAGGTGTTTACTTAACATATTCATGCTAAGAGAAGTTTTATGTGAATATATTATAATTCTACTAATTTGACAAGTGTAGATCCAATGTAGATCCAATTTGCTGAGCCTCATTTGAATTCAATAATCTACAACAGTTAAAAGTAGTCTATATTCTCTCCATCAACAAAGCCTACCTATGCAAATTAAATCTGAATCACAGATACGAATGCAATATATTCACAATCTAATTATGCAACGATGTATTTTCAAATTATCAGGAAAGAAAAAAATATTTTTACCGCATGCAAAAAAGATTTAGTTGTATGATTGTTATTAATAAGGTCACAGGTTACACATCTTCAGCTACAAAGAAAATAATTTTTAGAAATATTGAAAAAACAAATCAAGTAGTAGACCATTCACCAACACACCCTCCAATAATATCCCATCTCACCATACAATATCATCTAGATATCAACTTTGACATATAGTTACGTACACATCTGCAGAGCAGCTGGTCTGAAGATAAAAGGAAAATGGATTGGATGGTTTCCCACAAATTTCATGTGTACAGGGGGGACTGGCTCCATTCATACTTCAGGGAATAGCAAATGAATTTAAGAAAACAATGTTTAAATCAGGCCTGATGTTGCCTTACACATAAAGATTGATCCCAGTCTCTTCCTCACAGTGAGGCATACAGCTTATTGATTAAACACTGGTACTTGATCACTACTCTGTATCGGTCCATATCCAAATACCAGGTTCCGCTATCGGGATCGATATCACTGCATCCCTAGTATTTACCCAGTAGAGGGCTTGGTGGAGCAGATACAAATGTCAGTCGAACATGCGTGTCCTGCATGCATGTGGTGGCACATTCACACATCACATGAACGAAGAGATGAACATACACACACTGCAGAATGAGTCCTGTGTGGTGAGCCTCTTTACTGTCAGTCCTGGTTCAATAGGGGCTTTGTGCTGCTGCAGCTGTGGGACTGACCTCACTGACCTCACTACAGCCGACAGCCGACTTACAGTATCATTGTTAGCTCTATACACAAAGTGACACACAAACTATTGCAGTTCACTGCAGCACCCTCACAAAACAAAAAACGGGCAAAATAAAGAGTTCTAGTTGAAGTTAGGTATTTTAAAATATATTTTATACATATTTAATATATATATTTTTTAAATACATTTTAAAATACTGTACCTTAAAGCTGCACTCTTTTTAAAATATGAACAATGGATCAAAATACAGTATGTGCAATGTTAAATTGGTCATCCACAGCACATTGTCACCAACTCTGCAGTTCCCATCAGCCCTGCAGAGCTTTTTAGTCTCTTTAAGCTCATTGTTTTGGTTTTCAGACCCACAGACTCTGCTCTCATCAACCCAACTTCAAGCAGCAATGAATGATAAACTGTTCAGCAGCAAACAGAAGACAAACACGGTTAGAGACTAGCTGGTGAACATAGTGGAGCATTTAGCAGCTAGACGTGGAGACCAGAAACAGAGCTAAAAGAGAGAGAATATTGGCGGTCAGAAACACAAATGAAATGAAAGCTGTTGTTGTTCTGTGTCTGCTGGATGTGTTAGTCAACTGTTTGCCAACTTTTAAATGTCATAATATGTCAATGTTGTGTTTACTGCCTCTTCTGCTGCTAAAAGGGTTAATGCAGTTCTAAGTAACTGTTCTAGGTAGCCTGCCGTAATGTAAACTCAGCTAATCTGTGTGTACTTAATGTGTACTTAATGTGTGGCAGTTAATCTGACCAAAGCTTGAAAGAGTCTGTGGTGAGCATGCAAGTATATCACCAGAAAACCGTACTTTCCTGATTAGTTTAAAAGAGCGTTCAAAGTACTTAGTAAGTGCAGAGAATGGACGGCTACATATGGCCAGCCATATGAATACAGGCTTTGTGTCATGACAGATTCACCAAATTACATTTGCACTTTAACAAGAGCATTGAAATTAAACAAAAACTGTCATATGTCATTTTAGACAACTATGCAATCTCCATTTCCTTTCAGTGGTTTGAAACAATGCTCAGAGAGTGAACATGTGCAAAATAGTATATCAAGTATGTATATACAGCCATCACATGGCATCAAAATCTAACAAGAGGATAAAAGCTTCTGTTCCTGCTGCAGACTGATTCTGTCTCAGTGTGTCTGGAGGACGTGTGCCCTCACAAAGAGACTTTTATGGCTCTTGTGCTGCATTTGGAGGGTTCTCATCAACTCGTAAAGCCTTGAAATCATGACATGATCAAATCAAATGAAACCATATTTGACCTGTATGGACATCAGTCAACGGTAGATCTATCACAAGAACTGCACCAGTGAAAACTCAAAAGCACTTTTGTTATTGGTGTCGACTGTTACATGTATTTATACATTATGATAGAGAAATCCAGGTTCTATGGATATCAACTGTTTGCAGTCACCCTTCTTGTTCTAAAGTGGGTATCATGGTCTGTCCTGTATCTTGCATGCTAATCAGGTGGTTCTTCATAGTGATAAACTCAGAAAAGTTCAGTTTTACGAGTTGACAAGGCACTTCTGAACGCACCATTATTTCAGTGTTGCACTACAATTACCACAATGTAGTGGTTTTCAGGCTATGGTTCAAGTAATTTGTGCACTAAGCACTGGTCAAAGTTTCACTGGGTGTGTTTCAGACTGGTCCCTTGTTCAGTAATGCAGGTAGGAAATCCCTGTACAGTAAACAGGTTACTGCATAAGTCAGTGATGTATTCAGAGATGATTTGTCTGTGTTTTCACTTCATTGAAGACAATTTTAACCTTTTGTGCACCTAAAATGTCTTATTCAGCGTTAACATGTACTTAGCTCCACCCTCTTATGTCACTTCTGATTGCAAAATATATATATACACTGTATATATATGTATGTTTACTGTTTGTATATATGTACTGTATATTATACAGTACATACTGTATATACAAAGAGTAAACACTGCCTGACCTTGATCGCTCTTTAACTTTGACCTGACTGAAGCTCGGTGTGTTTCTGAGCCGTTACAACATCAAATCTTTCTACAGAACATTTGCAAAATGTTCTGTAGAAAACATCTGTCTGACTGGACTAGGCTGGCTTGACCCACACCCAATGAAGAGGAAGTTATTTTCGCATTACAGTAAATCCTCAAATAAAATGCGGTGCTTAGATTACAGCCTAGAGAACAGAAGAACAAGGAAACCACTGTATCTGTTTCTCCTTTCAACAGAAATACTCTCACTAGTCTCAGGTGGGAAGAAGCTTTTGACATAAAAATGAATGCTCTCAAACTAAAAATGTATGTACATGAACATGTACAATATTAACATTCCAACAAATGTTTTATGTATGTAAAAGATAACAACATTGTTTCACAATCAAAATCTGAATTCCTCCCACAGAAAACGTATTAGTGTTCATTTTCAACTGCATTAGGCACCTTGGCCTTCATGGCAGCTTCCACAGCTGGCCAGCATTGCTATAATGTAGCACGGCAAATGAATGTAATGGGACTGCAATTGAAGTTTCCCATCTGGCATAATAAAGTGAATGAAGTGAAGTGAACTGAATGACCACACAATATCAATATGAAGGAGTCAATTCAGTCCTTTTAGGCACCTCAAATTGCTGCTGTTAAAGTAACTTGTCATTAATTGCTTATTTGTGTATATAAATGAGGTGGAAGTATTCCCCCTAGCAGTGTTTTAATGTAACACACATACGTAGAGGACATGTTAAATCTGCATCAACAGCTAACAACAAGAACTGTGAAATAACAAGGCAACCAGAAGCAGATCAGAATATTACGTAAATGTCCTTACAAGATAATATCATATAGAAATAAAGGCCTGTTTTTTCTTAATTTGAGGTAAAAGAAAAGAAAAAAAGGTGCGTTAAATACATTAATCATATGTTACAGATCTCCCATCACCTGACTAAATATAGCACAAAAGTTCCATATCCATTTCATAGTAGTCTTATTCCAAGCCATGTGCACTGAAAACAAGTATGCACATACAGTCTCAGACATTCCATGTGTCAATGTTCCCTCAGTGAGTCTCGATGACCACCGGCTCAAAAACACCAGATGTTCCTCTGGGAAGACACAGAAACACACCATCAGTTGGGTAAAAAGATGCAGTAAATGAGTGAAGCTGTTTAAAAGGGCGTACCTGTTGGAGAGCTGTGTCCCGCTGAGGGCAGTGGTCCCATCTCTGCTGACAAACAGTCTCAAGTTGCTGTCTGAATGAAAGGAGGAGGAGAAGTGACCACTGTGATACACAAACGTAGAGCTGAAACTAAATCCTGACAACTTAAACTCGGTCCTACCTTCATTGTTGCTGCTGTCAGAAAAGTTCTGACTCTGGACAATCTTGTCCACAATGTCGTCTGCATCAATGCGGGTGTCGTCCACACAGCTGGGCTGCCTCTCCACAGAGTCCTTCTTTCTCCTGTTGTTGGACAAAATAAACAGCAATAGACAGAGAAGATCCATATCTGAAATACAACAACATTCTGCAAGAAGCAAAGGAGCAGAACCGTTACTGCTTCATACAGCAATCCATCATTTTAAAGGACAGGTGTTTGACTAACATTTGATAAATACTACAGCTGTGTTAGGAAATCACTGAGCTCTTTAAAACAAATGAAATACATGTTTGTGAGCTATTTTAAAGGCCTTTTAAATGCCAGCAGTAAGAACCAATGTGTTTGAAGCTGAATACAAGTGAGAGTTGTAAGAGACTAACACATTGTTGGTTTTGATATTTACATGGGACAGATTAAACCTTGCATCTGGCTAATAGCTGGTAAACTGCAGCTCATCGCAGTAAGGCATCAAATGTTCAGGTTACCTTTTCCCTTTTACTTGTTGCCAAGTGTGTTTACTGTTTTATTTTCATGGAGGCCTGATCCATCCATCCATCTCTTATCTTTAACCGCTTATCCTGATCAGGGTCGCGGGGAGCCCATCCCAGCTGACACTGGGTGAAGGACTGGACAGGTCTCCAGACTATTACAGGGCTGACATATTGAGACAGACGCTCACATTCACACCTACGATTTAGAGCCATTGATGAACCTACGCTGCATGTCTTTGGACTGTGGGAGGAAGCTGGAGAACCTGGAGAGAACCCACACTGACACGGGGAGAACCTGCAGCTCCACACAGAAGGGCCATCTAGCCCGGGAATCGAACCCAGGCCCCTCTTGCTTTGAAGCAACACCGCGTTGCAGCCCAGGAGATAAAATGTGAAATAGTCATAGCTTCGTAGGCTTTTGTTTACTCTGAACTGTGTAACAGTTTCTTGCTCCTTTGGCCTTCTTTCTAGAGAGGTGCGCATGTTCCCACATCTCACTAATGACTTTGTATTATTCATCATAACCGATTATGCATGTCAATATAGTTAAAGTATTAATACCACACTGTGAAAATACTCCACAACAAGTAAAAGTCCTGAAATCAAAACCTTACGGAGGTAAAAGTATGTCAGTATTATCTGCAAAATTGGTAAAAGTATTGATTGATCAGTAAACTGTTTCACTATTATATCTGATGTTTCTGGATTAATATTGCTGCTGCATTAATGTGTATGTTGCATTGTAACTGGCTGGTTTAATCTACAGCAATGCATCATATTCTATAAGGTCATCGCATGCTTGTAGCGTCGCTGTCCTGGAAGAACCTCGTATCTCTACAAAGAAGAACATCCTGTTTTCAGCTTTGTGACGATGTGTTTTCCAGCTGATCCAAGAGGCTTTTTAAAGAGTTTGCTTAGCTGAAGGTGTAGGAGGATTTTCTCAACACATAAAGGAACACTTCATCCTTCAGTTTATCACAAACATTCAACATCAACACATCTGGAGATTATTGGTTTTCACTGGACAGGAAGGGGATGCAACTGTCATCTGAGAAGTAACTGTAGAGGAGTAACAAGTACAATTCTTACCTCTGAGATGTAGTGGAGAAGTAGAAAGTACTCAAGTACTTTGAATATGTACAGAAGATGCGTAAACGTACTTAGTTACATTTACAACTGCTTACAGAGCAAAACAAACAAGTGTCATCTTGTTTTCCCCTCAAGCGCGAGAAAGGAGAGCTAGAAACCCCCCTGAGGCCCATTCATAGCCGGTCTGTACATTCATGTAAAGTGTCCCGAGTGAATAACATGTTCTTGGTCATTGTGATGGAACAGCCTTCTGCTACACAAGTCTGGGAAATCTAACGTTATCCCACCTGCAGCTGGACTAGCTACAGTGAACAGACTCGATCATGCAGCAGATGCTTAATAGGACTGAAGTCTGTTGTGGGCGAAGGGCGGAGCCTGTTCTATGTTCACTATTTAAAGCTACAGTAGCTGTTGATTCAAGAACAATTGGTTTGACATTAAGTATGCCAGGCCTGTTCAATGCCATTTAGTTGATGTGCTCTAATGAAGTTGTGCAGCATTATTTGTTATATCTAATATGTTGAACTTACCTGACAATTTGATTGCTGTCATGCAGGGCAGTCTTCAGGGAAGGCATTATTTTGTTAATAGAATTTAAAATGTTATCTATTGCTCAACTAGAAAGGTGCGCTCAGTAGAGTGTGTTTGCAGAAGCCACTGCTGTAATGTTTGATGGAATGACTACAAACCACAGTTGTCTAACTCAACATCTAGACTGCAAGTGAATCAGACATATTTTCATTTGCATGTCTCACACAACAGATGTCTATCATTTGAATCAATGCAGATATCCACCTGCTCCGCGCATCTAACGACTGACCACAGCCTGAAGTGTTTTAAAGTCTATTTTGTTGACAATACAGGAGGAAACGTGAGGTTGATGCCCAATGAAAAGGCAGTGAACAACTATAACTACATCTTACAACCTAAGCACAGCAGAGGGTGCTGCTCTCTCCACAGGGCAACAGTCCTGATTCTTAATTGTTATTTTTGACTGACTGTAAATGGGAATAAACTCAAACTTTATACAATTTGAAGTCTTTACTGTGAGAGTATTATGGTCCAGTTGTTGACATATTATTTTTATAGTAGCCCCATGATAACAGCACATGAAGTGGTGAGAATATGAAGCTGTTCCATTCCTGTTTTGGTACTGGTTGGTCTTCAGTCTGAGGTCCTTGCATGTGACCAACAGAAGATGCCTCCTCCCAGAGAGGGAAGAATTCCTGGAGGATTTCTAGCATGTAAGTTTACACATGCCTGAGATCCAACCTAAACCTTTGTCTGTGTGATGGAGTTCAGACATGCCTCACATAGAAATCATCTTGTGACAGCAGGTGTGTTTTGTCAAAAGTGCAGATGTGTGTGTATCTACCTAGAGGATCTGTTGGACATGAGAGCTGCTGCAGAGGGTAGAGGAGGTCTCCCTGGTTTGGTGGAAGTGGCTTGTCGGTGCAGCTCGGTGGGGGTGGAGGGAAGTAGCTGGGAGTGTTGAGCCAACCCACAGGAGACACTGCTGCTGGAGGAGGTGTTCCTCTGGTGACTGAGGTCAGTCAGGCTGGAGCAGCGAGAGTGAGCTGTGCTGTAGCCTGGATGGGAGGGGAGCATTATCATTAACCCCCATTCCTCCCAGTCCGTGTGTACAGTTTTTCCATACTGAAATATAAACTGGCTGCAGGTGGGAGGAGCTTTCAACAATGCTTGAAGAACTTTCTTCCAAAAAGGGTTCTTAATGGAACCCGTAGTCTCATAAAGATCCCTTGAGATCCCTTCATTGAAAGGTCCTTTTAGAAGCAAAAGGAGTGCAGGAATATGTACAGTAAGTTATCAATAACAATAAGTTGTCCCTCACATTGGGACATTGGGAAAGTGGTCCATTAATAGATAGGTGGTTATAGTTTCTTTTTAGAAATGCCGTATGACCGCATGTCCTTTGCTTTGCTGTTCAATAGTGTTGAGAGGATTGTGGTGACCTTTGTCTCATTTGCCAGAGTTAAAGCAGATCTGATTTGTAAAACCACACACGGGTTTTTCCTTTCCAATTAGTTTGTTAATCCTTTACATAGTATTTTTACTGTTCGCTGTTGCTTCTCTAATGATTTCAGGGGAAAAGTTGGTTTAGCCTAGAAGTTACATGTCTCAAAGCTTTATGGGTTAAACAATCAGTATTAATGATTGCATACAATGATTTTCGGGACTTTTCAGAGAGGCATCTCTTCTTTTCATTAGGTCCCATAGGTCGATAGACTGCAAATACAACAAACGACAATTCAGGGGATAGACCAACACATTCCAGGGCGTATTCATCAATAATCAATTGATATTTGATAAATGTGGTCTCCAAGACGCCCATTTCCATACACATGCCGTTGGAAAATCTGTCGGTCTCCCAGTTAGTTTTAGTGGAGGAGAGACAGCAGTACCTGCAGGGTTCCTGCCACCATCTCCTGCTGTTGGAAACATAACAGCAAGCACAAAATTGAGCTTATGCAGGTCTTAAACTAGATTTTTAGAGCCCCTCTTTTAAACTGGATCTCAAGATCAGATTTTCAAGCAGGACCCAAACTTATTATTCTGCTCTTGTACAGGTTAGCTTAGCAACTAGCTAACAATAGATCATTGATGTTAATGGAGCTCTCTCAAGACACCCACCACAAGATCGCGAGAGAACACAACGCAAACTCCCTCTGGTTCTTTTGCAGAGGAGAAAAGCACAGAGGGGCTTGGAGGCTCATTAGGGGCTGGGGGATAGAGCGTGCATTCTGAAAATGTTCACAATTACTGGACAATTGATTTACAAAACAGATGAACAGCCTGAGAGGTCTTGCTGGTCTCTTGGCTTTGAGTAAAAACAGACTTTTAGTTCCACAAACCTGCCAACGATTCCTATATCTTCTCTGTTCTCAGCTGTCCGAGCAAGTTCTTGTATTTTTCACTACAATGAGTCAGATCGTGACAAGGAATATTATATTCCTTGAGCACTGAAAGGTGCTGTGAACACACCAAGCACACTGGCTTCCCTTTAACCATTGAAGACATTTCTTGGAAAGCTGTGTCCACTTTTCTCCTTTTTCCACTGGCCGCGCCTGCATGAACAGTAACCAACTATCTATATAGTGTATCCAGCATAGGACCTGCTAGTCAGCACCACCCCTAGTGCAGATTAAATCAAATATATTTCTATAGCATATTTTAAACAACATGAACTTACCAAAGTGCTTTACAATAGATCAGACAACAAAAGCATTCATATAACAGAGATCAAGATCAAATGAAAGCGTAACCCAATGCTAAACTAATAAGCAACCATTTAGTAAATTATGTGCAATCTAAAGCCAAGAAACAATAATTGTGTCTGAAGTCTTCACTTTGAACCACTCAGTTGAAGGAGAGATCTGATGTGGAAAGTTAGTTTGTTCCACAGACTTGGACAGAGATGGTACAGTCGCCCCTAAACTGGCATCAGGCCCGAGGGACGACCAAGGTACCGGGGATTAAAACATCAAGATAGGTAAGAGGGAGCCGATCCATGGAGTGCTTTGTAGACAAATAATAGAGTCTCAAAAAGAACTCTGAAATTGACAGGGAGCCAGTGAAGGGAGGCAAGTATGGGGCAAACAGTCTGACTTTACAGGAAGGAGTTAGAAACCTGGCAGCAGCGTTCTGCACATACTGCAGACATGAAAATGAAGACTGACTGACTCCCATGTACAAGGTGAGTGCATAAAAGCATAGATTATTTTTTCACAATCTTGGAATGATAAAAAGGATTTTTACTTTCACCAAGAGACGCAGTTGGAAAAAGCTGCCTCTCACCACGAAATGCATGTTTGTCAAACTTAATTAAAGAGTCAAAGATTATTCCAAGGTTTTTGCATATGATTTCAAAAACGATAACACAGGTGGAAGTTGGGGGGGTTTCAGTTTGTTTAGCATCAAGAGCTTTTGAGACATCCAGTCTTTAATGTCTTGGAAACAGTACATGGTGTTGATAATAGCACTCTCAGGTTGCAGAGCTTATTCTATCAGAGCATCCCTGGTCTTAGCACAAGGAAGTAAAAGCTCCTGAGAAGCTCTCTGACCTGAGATCTTGCTGTGTTGGCTGGCATAGCTGGAGCTGCGGAAATGACCAGTGTGAAAGACCTCATCTGGGCTGGACCCACCCTCTCCCTCCTCCGGAAGCCCTGCAGATAACACACAATAAACACACACACACACACCTGACTGCAGGATATGAATCAGAGACATTATCTGATCAATTCTGAAGACTATCTAACAGTGTCTGTCACTTTGTTGTTAGTGGCATATTCAGTAACTGTCAACAATTTTCCCTTTGATACTTTCAGTCATTTTGTTGTTTCATATCAATACTTTCAAAAAACATTTCAAAAACAAATTCAAAATCTTGGATCCGACCCACGGCCTTCTGCTCTCTCCATCCTTCTGTCCTGACTATCACTATCAAACACTGTCCCTGTGACCCATTAACACATTGTTGGATTTGGTCTTTTCATGAGTTTTGTGGACAATCAGAAAACCATAGAATAATGACATTGTTATCCTTCTGTCATTTTTGGATAACATTCAGATGTGTATGTTAAATTTACATTTAAAAAGAAACACAAGCAGTCATATGATCAGATCCCAGGTAAGAAAACGTATTTTGAACCTACCGTCGCTACCATATTGTGCACACAGTTTTCCTGAACAATGAGGGATTATTATCAACAATTCAGGTGCAATCACTTTCAGTTTGCCCTCCACATAAACTTGTTGAAACAATCTGTTGGCTTGGTTACAACAAGTCTAATGGTCTGACTGCTCATGTTTCTTTCCCCATGACTTCCCTGTTACCATGTCACTGTGTTCCCAAATCTCATAACTGAAAACTACAAAAATAAGACCCAAATTGCAATGAGTTTGTTTAATCCTTCAATTCCAGTTGGTTAGAAAGGACACAGCAGTTACCTGAGCTAGGTACTGACGACTGTCTGGGTTTGAAGGCTCGAGGACTCTCCACGATGCCCCCTAGTGGCTGTATGGTGGAATCAGTGCTCTCACCCTTACAGTCCAGCTGCAGGCTTGGGTCCTCGTCCCCAATGGAGACAGATTTGGTCGTGCTGGGAAGTCTGATGGTGAAAACACAGGCATACAACAAACAATGAGTGCTAAACAAGTCAGGAGCAGGTGCATGCTAGCATTCTAAAACCAAAGGAAAGATATTGAAGTTTGGCTGCTATTTGGCCAGTTTACCATCAAGGTCAGAGGTCTGTGACACACTGCTCATGGAAGTTATTACAGTACTTTAAAACACTTTGCATCAACATTGTAGTCCTTCTCTAAGTCATAAGTCAAATCTGAACACAGTCATGATCGACATGTGTTTAGATTCAGTGTGGCTTACACTCTCTGAGGAAATCATCATGTGTGATGTCATCACGAGGCGCTGAACGCCCATGAATTCACATCATAGAAAAAAGACCAGAATCATGGGAAAACATGGGTTAGAGGGGGTTTTGAGGGGGTTGTTTCAGTTGTGTCTGAGGGGGAGCCCATAGAGTCACAATCAGTGAAATAGAGGAACTCACGTTTTAAAGCAGGGATCCCCAGACAGCAGAGTTGTTCCAATCGTTACCTTAAAAAAAACATAGATGTTACCAAACCTGCTGATCGGTTCAGTGTGTGTGTGTGTGTGTGTGTGTATATGTGTGTGTGCGTGTGTCTGTGTGTGTGTGTGTGTGTGTCTGATTGTGTATTTTCCCTGCCTTGAGGATAGAGTTATCCTGTCGAATGTTTTTGGTGTCATAACCCTCGAGGATGCAGCAGCGAACTGTGGAGCCTGAACCAGCAAACTCTGCAATGTTGAGATCAGCAAAACCTATCTGGAGACAGACAGACAGACAGACAGACAGACATGTAAACAGACAGACGTGAGGAAACAACAGAACAAGGTCAAGTCTGTTCCACTTCTTTTCTAGGAAGTGGATGAAGGGAAACAGAGTGACTCTATGTCGAACTCAATGACCTCCTTTAAACTCCTCATTCATGATTTTCTGCCCAGTCAGCACCGCTTCTCACCGACGGGTCAGTTTGTGGTGGTGGTGTGTGTGAACCTGTGTGTAAGTGTATTTCATAGTCATTGTTCATTCAATTAACGTATTTTTTGCAATTTTGTCCCACTTGTGCTTCCAGTGAATCTGAAATTCTTGTTAAATTCACAAATTTAGCAAAGTTGATGTTTAGTTGTACTGGACCAAGTAAGGCAACTCCTGATGAGTCCAAAACACGTTCCTCTTCAACTGGTTTTTTCTTAACTTGATTGTTGATTCCAACATCTGGTCCAGACTCCAGAGAAAGGTATCTTGACTGCACAGGCCAGGTTGCCATTCATTTACTGTGGATATTCATGTTCCTAGAGGATGATTTCCTGAGCTCATTCATGCTCCTCAGAAGCTAAATCTTTTTGATTTTGGACATTCCATGAGCTTTCATCTAGTGCTCTTATCAGGACAAAATGTCAACTTTGTACAAAGCCATCTGATTATTGAAGAAATTTGATAATCTTGGCAAGAAATTGTCTGAACACCATTAGGCTCAATAGCATTTTTGATTGTAATGACAACACGACCCTTTAAAAGTACCAATCAACCAGGTGTGACCACTCCCATCAAAGAGTTATTCTTTATTTGTTTTATTTGATCATTTAAAGCAGACATTTCCAAAAAGTGAGATCAAATAGTAAGTACATGTGGGATCCCAAACTGCAGGTTACTTCGCCAGCAAATCCCTCAATACATTGTTTTTCCCCAGGCCGTGAAGAAATTGGAATTTAATTATTACACATTTCAGAATGTCTTTAATCAATCATACTGACTGATTGTCCTTTTTATGATGTTTTAACAGAAGACAGTGCAGGCAGACAGCGTCAAAGTGCCGTGACAAACACACTGCACACCAATTACTCAGCATGGAGTTACCCTAGTAATTAACCTGGAGAGATAAAATGATCCCTATCATCAGGGTATGACATGACAATATTCTAAACTTTATTATGGAGCTCAAACAGCTGATACTTTAAACTACAGGACTGGTGCTTCTAGGTCAGCTGTTACTACACATACACACGCACACACACACACACACACACACACAGACACACACACACACACACACACACAGACACACACTGTAGTAAACACAGCGTGATCTGTTACTGGCTACTTCTCACACTCACTACCTCTGACTGTGCCCTGTCACAACAAAGCCCTGTGATGTTGACATGGCTGATATTTAGCACAGCTTTTAGCGTCACTGACTACTCAGCTCTATGAACCAGAGTTCACATGTCAAACACGTTCGCTAAACAGGTCTGAGCTGGATTAAAGATGACTGTTGATGTCTTATGTCTTATACTGGTTGCTAATCACATTGTCAGAACACAACCTTACCTTTGAGAAGGCCTTTCCTCCTTTGAGCTCCTGGAGAGATAGAGAGCACAACAGTCTGTGTCAGACTCAACAGTCATATCCATAAACATATACTATCACATCATGGGGAACCTGGAACAGGTGCTGTGGGACAAACCAGTTACTTTCATCATGCAGCGTATAATCATTCCTGCATTATGGGTGTTGTGGGGGGAAATGTCACTGTCTTTAAATTATGACCAAGAGAAGTAAGAGAGGTGGCTGCCGGGAATAGTAGTTTACCTTACGTACAGAGACCCTGCAGATGCAGGGGTCCAACACTCCAATGGTTGGACTGGCACTCATTTTACACACAAAAGAGAACTTCTTCCTCCATCGAACACAGTTTTGCTGCACCTCCTCCCTACACACACACACGCACGCACGCACGCACGCACACACACGCACACACGCACGCACGCACACACGCACGCACCAGATTAGACTGGTCTGGGTGACAAAATTGTGTAAACAGATAGCTTGACAAATACATCTCAATAAGCTCTGTCATGTTCCAGGGTTCCTGTCTAGCTCCAGGCCCCCTGGGGCCACTAATTCTCCATTAGTGATTCCACCTTTTGCCAGATAATGTGCCAAGTTTAGAGACAGCAAACCATCACATTTCCATACAATAACACAGAACATGAGGTTGTGTGGATTACTATTTGAAGCAATTACATGGTACCCATTTACTAAAATGATATGCAAGATGATTCCAATGTCATTTTACTCCTGAAGCAGGCAGATCCGGCTTCTGTTTAATCTGACCTTGTCCTGCATCACACAAGGCTAAAGGCTGTTTGGTTTATGGTCTAGAAGACAAACAGCATTTTTCCACAGGCAAGATACAGTATCCATGTGATGCAGAGGCAAGCCGTGTACTCTGGCTTCACAGCAGTTGACCAACACTACTGTGCTCCTGTAGTTCTTTAGTAGCACAGGGGCCAACCTGCGACAGGCTCCGCCCTCGATACGAACCATGTCTGCACTGATCTCCTAATTATGTGTGGGGACCAGAGACATATTAAAATGTCTCGTTGTGTTCTTATCTGCATGTAGTTTGGTGGAGGGCATTTATTTCTCTATGAATTTTTGTAACTAGGCTCGCACTATCAGAGCTTTTCAGACGTGACTGTCACAAAACATTCACTGATAAAAGTACAGTCAACATGTCTGAGGATTTTACAAAGACGACCAATTAGTTTTTAGAGGTTTTAGAAACAGGAGGTCTTAAATCTACATTTGAGTTGATATTTTGTAGCCAAATCAAATTGTTTACAGGATATTCAGCCTTTGTTTCTTTATAATTGACTTCCTACTTGACAGGGCTTGTTTAAAGGCAATACAGTAGTCCATGAATATGAGATATGAGTTTACAGATAATTACAATCCCTCCTCTGCATGGAGGAGGTTGCTTTATGTTTTTTGCTTGTTAAACTTGTGGTCTTCTTGCTTCACAGTACATTTAGTTTCTGAGAATAATGTAATGAACAGCACATAGAGCATAAAAGCTCCGTACATGCTCGGAGCTCACGCGCTATCTGTGGAGGCTCGCACTATGGTGCCACGCTCGAGTATCAACTAAGTGTAAGTGTGTGTGTGTGTGTGTGTCTGTCTGTCTCGGGTTAGAGAGAGAAGCTGTGCTGTGTGGATTCTGTTCTGGGCATAGCTGTTGCGTGGTTGTTGTGTGAGTGGCCTTATCGTTAACAATATTAGCATAGTTAATTGCATTAGCTTGCATCCATGAAATCTTATAAATATTACATATTATCTGTGTAACACCTCTTCCTAACTGGATGTGATGCGAGCCAACGAGTGGATATCAGATAGTTTGAGTTATTCCCGATGAAGATGTCCTAACCCGCTCACCTCCAACCTGATGTCCAAATGGACGTCGACAGTAACTGACAGTTGATTAATATCGCTCTCTATTACATAGACAGCTACATCGCTCACTGTTTAGCAGGACAATTTTTCAGCATTTCATTCGCTAGAGTTTGCTCGTCTGTGTTCACACCAAACGTGAAGCAACTTTTGCATCGCGTTTCAGAGAGCCGTATTCACTCACTGTATCTAGCAAACCACATGTTGGCTGTTTTACTACAGCTGTATGAACCACAATGAACAAATATATTGCTATAATTTAATTGCATGCCGAAATAACTACATAATAATGCCGGATTTTGAAATTATGATTTGATCAATAAAATGATCAAATCAAACCACATCTTTTGTTACTAGGTCCGACTTAGTAATATTACCTTCTTGACTTTTTACGTGAAAGTGACTCAGGCGCTTTGTTAGACATAAGACTGACGTGTTACGTGCTTGGAATTACATTGACGTATGACATGCATTTCTGAAAGACCCTTTACAAAACATAGAGGCTTCCTGTAGCTCTTCTGCTCCTTGGGCAAAGCAGTGAACCTCAAAGTGTTCCATGAGATGTGAAGACTCCTTTCACTGGAGAAATAAAGGCCTAAAACGGAGTGTGCTCCTCATCTCTTCATTTGTGGAATTTTGGAGGCCCCAGAGGGAAATGAGGACTAATGGGATGATCCAGTGTGTCCCTCCCTCAGTCTATCAGCAGGCTTTTCTCACTAAACTAATGAATACAGAGTGAAGGTCAGCTATAACAGCTGAGATCAGGGAACTAATACTAAAGTTAACTTCTCTACATTTCATTCCCTCAACACACACAGGCATCAGCGTGCTTGGCTTGTCTTGACTTGGCCGGTAAACTCTGATGTTATCTGTCCCTGCACAGCTTGTGTCAGAGGAAACTTCGCGATAATCCTCCAGCTCTCTACAAGATCAGCATTTCAGATACACAACACACACATGTGCAGACTTAGTCTGACATGCTTGCTTTTCTACCACAGGAGTAATTCTTGAAAATATGAAAACTGCAAAGCTTCATTGAGGTTTTGTAGTGTCCCTCCCTCCCAATGAAGCTAAATTGAAGCTGCAATAACTTGCTTTTGGCGCCAAAAGATATTATGGAGTTGTTCCTTTAACAGCAGACACAAAGCCACATAAGTATTCATTTGGAGTGCTGTTTGTGACAAGCTAAATATCTCCAATATTCACTCTCCTTTTAGCTCTGGACTGGACTCCGCCAACTCCAACTGTGCCTGCTGCTGTTTACTGCTGAGCAGGGAGTATTTTCTTTCTCATATTTGTTTTTACGCATTCAATCAGGTTAGTATCTTCAGGCACTTTTTCCAACACTAATTGTACCTTTGTCTTTATCAGAGGAACCCTCCCACTCTGCTTATCTAAAGGGTTACCTGACGTTTGCAGCCCTTAGAACAACAGGCCTGGAGGCTGTCGGCTGCCTGGGAGTGGCAGAAAATGGAGACAGGTTCTGCCACTTCTTTTCTTACAGCCCAAGCTGCCTGCCTTCACAAACACACCATTGTACAAGTAGATACAAGCAATGCTTTCTCTCACAATGAAGCTATGCTTTTATAAGGCTAGGTCACATCTACCAAAGGACTGGCACAGTCTGACTTAGTGACCAATACACGCTTTTTCATTTCAGGGGATATTGTTGGCCGATTTAAGAAATGATGGGAATCGCCCAGAAAGAAAGTTGACAACAAAGATGTGGCTGGATCAGAGATTAGCTTCTTGAGACACAAAAGCGGTGTTGAGAGTGGTTTGATGGACGCAGCTAGGTTGGTGTGATTGGGCTCATGTGTTGGTTAGTGACGACTGGCTGAGTACACCGCCCATCGTTTATTTTAGTCTGCTCATCGTTCCACACAGATCTGATGTTTTTGTCTCTTTAGTGGAATCTTAGTAACAGGTCTTAGTCAAAGTTTCTATTGCCTTGTGCTTTATCCATACACCAAATGTTCCACCTCAGCCAAGCACAAAAACCTTTTTGCATTATTTCAACTATTTATTTTTTGTTCTGGCGTTTTTATGCACAAATTGAAAATGTGCATAAAACAGGTGGATGGTTGAAGTGAAAGAAGGCTACCACAATCTCCTGATGATTGGGGTAACCTTCTTTCACTTCATATCTCAATCTCGTTTAGATTTATGAAGCACAGCTGGTAATACTGCCATTGTCTGCATGTTTGGCTTTAATTGCTTTGTTTTAAGTCCCCGTCCACTCAAGCTTCACTGTGGAAGAAGAGTTTTGCATTAGAGGGCTGTAAACTACCCGACTATAACTTCACCACAGCACCACCTTGGCACCACACAGCATCTGCACCTGTCTGCTTATATTCTAAGTGAATATTTACTTGTGTTGCCTGCATATCAATTTGTTTTCTAAGAACACTAAAGTTCTGCTACCAATGTGTTTGGGTTAAAAACTCCCACTTGACGAACTCTGTCCTCCTATTGGTTACTCTGTCTTTTTTTCTGGTGGAAGAATCTGAGGAATGAGACAGAGTTGCAAATGGGCCTGATATACACACACTCATACAAGCAGACCCATTCAGACACACACACATTTACAGACATTACACTTTGAATCATTTGAGACAACATGACAGATAGTGCCTGTAATGCTTTTAGGTTGCTATGTGTGTGTTTGTGTGTGTTGTTGTTGGAGTACGATGTATAGGTTCTTATGTAGCAATGCACTGGCTTTAGTTAGCAGGTGTTTGTCTAAGGTGGCAGTGGCTTCAAGGTTCAACGTGGGATAGAGAGTGATGTATTGGCTGATCCCAAATATATCTTGTGAAAGTGAAGCAAGTGTGAAAAACTATATATATAAACTATATATATATACACATACACACATATATATATATATACATATATATATATATACATACA